AATGAACAAAGCCTCCAAGAAATATGGGATTATGTGAAAAGACCTAATCTACGATTGATAGGTGTACCTGAATGTGACGGACAGAATGAATACAAGCTGGAAAACACTCTTCAGGATATTATACAGGAGAACTTCCCCAACCTAGCAAGACAGGCCAATATTCAAGTCCAGGAAATACAGAGAACACCACAAACATATTTCTCAAGAAGAGCAACCCCAAGGCACATAATCGTCAGATTCACCAGGGTTGAAATAAAGGAAAAAATACTAAGGACAGCCAGAGAGAAAGGTCAGGTCACCCACAAAGGGAAGCCCATCAGACTCACAGCAGATCTCTCAGTAGAAACCCTACAAGCCAGAAGAGAGTGGGGGCCAATATTCAACATCCTTAAAGAAAAGAACTTTCAACCTAGAGTTTCATATCCAGCCAAACTAAGCTTTATAAGTGAAGGAGAAATAAATCCTTTATGAACAAGCAATTGCTCAGAGATTTCATCACCACCAGGCCTGCTTTACAAGAGCTCCTGAAAGAAGCACGAAACATAGAAAGGAACAGCCAGTAGCAGCCAAATGCATAAGCATACCAAATGGTAAAGAGCATTGACACAATGAAGAAACTGCATCAACTAATGGGCAAAACAACCAGCTAGCATTAAAATGGCAGGATCAAATTCACACATAACAATATTAACCTTAAATGTGAATGGGCTAATTATCCCAATCAAAAGACACAGACTAGCTAATTGGTTAAAAAGTCAAAACCCATTGGTGTGCCATATTCAGGAAACCCATCTCACATGAGAGGATATGCATAGGCTCAAAATAAAGGGATGGAGGAAGATTTACCAAGCAAATGGAGAGCAAAAAACAAGCAGGAGTTGCAATCCTAGTTTCTGATAAAATACAATTTAAACCAAGAAAGATCAAAAGAGACAAACAAGGGCATTGCATAATAGTAAAAGGATCAATGCAACAAGAAGAGCTAATGATCCTAAATATATATGCACCCAATACAGGAGCACCCAGATACATAAAGCAAGTTCTTAATGACCTGCAAAGAGACTTAGACTCCCACACAACTAATTGCACTTGAACTCAGACCTGGACCAAGCAAACCTAATAGACATTTACAGAACCCTCCACCCCAAATCCACAGAATATACATTCTTCTCAGCACCACATCACACCTACTCTAAAATTGACCACATAATTGGAAGTAAATCACTCCTCAGCAAATGCAACAGAATGGAAATCATAAGAAACAGTTTCTCAGACCACAGTGCAATCAAATTAGAACTCAGAATTCAAAAACTAACTTAGAACCACACAACTTAACGGAAACTGAACAAATGGCTCTTGAATGTTGACTGGATAAACAATGAAATGAAGGCAGAAATAAAGATGTTCTTTGAAACCAATGAGAACGAAGACACAATGTACCAGAATCTCTGGGACACATTTAAAGCAATGTCTAGAGGAAAATTTATAGCAATAAATGCCCACAGGAGAAGCAAAGAAAGATCTAAAATCGACACCCTATCATCAAAATTGAAATAGTTGGAGGAGCAAGATCAAAAAAAACTCAAAACCTAGCAGAAGACAAGAAATAATTAAGATCAGAGCAGAACTGAAGGAGATAGAGACACAAAAAACCCTTTAACAAATGAATAAATCCAGGAGCTGGTTTTTTGAAAAGATCAACAAAATAGACCACTAGCCAGATTAATAAAAAAGAAGAGAGATAATAATCAAATAGGTGCAATAAAAAATGATAAAGGGGATATCACCACAGATTCCACAGAAATACAAACAACCATCAGAAATTACTACAAACAACTCTATGCACATAAACCAGTAAACTTGGAAGAAATTGATAAATTCCTGGACACTTGCACCCTCTCAAGCCTAAATGAGGAAGAAGTTGAAACCCTGAATAGACCAATAAAAAGGGCTGGAGTTGAGGCAGCAATTAATAGCCCACCAATAAAAAAAAGCCCAGGTCCAGATGGGTTCACAGCCGAATTCTACCAGACATGCCAAGAGGAGGTGGTACCACTCCTTCTGAAGCCATTCCAAATAATCCAAAAAGACAGAATCCTTCCCAAATAATTTTATGAGACCAACATCATCCTGATACCAAAACCCAGCAAAGACTCAACAAAAAAAGAAAACTTCAGGCTAATATCCATGATGAACATAGATGCAAAAATCTTCACTGAAATACTGGCAAACCGATTGCAACAGCGCATCAAAAAGCTTATCCATCGCAATAAAGTAGGTTTCATCCTTGCATCTACCAGATGCAAGGCTGGTAGAACATACGCAAGTCTATAAACATAATTCACCACATCAACAGAACCAAAGACAAAGACCACATGGTTATCTCAATAGATGCAGAGAAGGCCTTCAACAAAATTCTACAGCCCTTTATACTAAAAACTCTCAATAAACTAGGTATGGATGGAACATATCTCAAAATAATAAAAGCTATTTATGACAAACCCACAGCCAATATCATACTAAACGGGCAAAAACTGGAAGCATTCCCTTTGAAATCTGGCACTAGACAAGGATGCCCTCTCTCACCACTCCTATTCATATAATATTGGAAGTTCTAGACAGAGCAATCAGGCAAGAAAAAGAAATAAAGTCTATTCAATTAGGAAAAGAGGAAGTCAAATTGTCTCTATTTGCAGATAACATGATTGTATATTTAGAAGACCCCATTGTCTCAGCCCATAATCTCCTGAAACAGATAAGCAACTTCAGCAAAGTCTCAGGGTACAAAATCAATGTACAGAAATCACAAGCATTCCTACACATCAATAACAGACTTAAAGAGAGCCAAATCAAGAATGAACTGCCATTCACAATTGCCACAAAGAGAATAAAATACCTAGGAATACAACTAACGAAGGATATAAAGGACCTCTTCAAGGGGAACTACAAACCACTGCTCAAGGAAATAAGAGAGGACACAAACAGAGGGAAAAACATTCCATGCTCATGGTTAGGAAGAATCAATATCATGAAAATGGCCATACTGCCCAAAGTAATTTATATATTCAATGCTATCCCCATCAAACTACCAATGACCTTCTTCACAGACCTGGAAGAAAACCACCTTAAACTTCATATGGAACCAAAAGAGAGCCCCCATTGTCAAGTCAATTCTAAGCAAAAAGAACAATGCTGGAGGCATCACGCTTCCTGACTTCAAACTATACTACAAGGCTACAGTAATCAAAACAGCATGGTACTGGTACAGAAACAGAGGTATAGACCAATGGAACAGAACAGAGGCCTCAGAGGAAATGCCACACATCTACAACCATCTAATCTTTGACAAACCTGACAAAAACATGCAATGGGGAAAGCATTCCCTGTTTAATAAATGGTGTTGGGAAAACTGGCTAGCCATGTGCAGAAAGCAGAAACAGGACCCCTTCCTGACACCTTACACTAAAATTAACTCCAGATGGATTAAAGATTTAAACATAAGACCTAACACCATAAAAACCCTAGAGGAAAACCTAGGCAAAACCATTCAGGACATAGGCATAGGCAAAGACTTCATGACTAAAACACCAAAAGCATAGGCAACAAAAGCCAAAATAGACAAATGGGATCTAATTAAGCTTCTGCACAGCAAAAGAAACAATCATTATCTGTGGCAACCAACAGAATGGGAAAAAAAATTTTGCAATCTACCCATCTGACAAAGGACTTATATCCAGAATCTACAAAGAACTAAAACAGATTTACAAGAAAAAAACAAACAAACCCATTCAAAAGTGGGCAAAGGATATGAACAGACACTTTTCAAAAGAAGACATATATAGGACCAACAAACATGAAAAAATGCTCATCATCACTGGCTATTAGAGAAATGCAAATCAAAACTACATTGAGATACCATCTCATCCCAGTTAGAATGGCGATCATTAAAAAATCTGGAGACAACAGATGCTGGAGAGGATTTGGAGAAATAGGAACACTTTTACCCTGTTAGTGGGAGTGTAAATTAATTCAACCATTGTGGAAGACAGTGTGGCGATTCCTCAAGGACCTAGAAATAGAAATTGCATTTGACCTAGCAATCCCATTACTGGCTATATATCCAAAGGATTATAAATCCTTCTATTATAAAGACATATGCACACACATGTTCATTGCAGCACTGTTTACAATAGCAAAGACTTAAAACCAACCCAAATGCCCATCGATGATAGACTGGACAGGGAAAATGTGGTACATATACACCATGGAATACTATGCAGCCATAAAAAACGATGAGTTTGTAGGGAGATGGAGGAACCCGGAAACCATCATTCTCAGCAAACTGACACAAGAACAGAAAACCAAACACCACATATTCTCACTCATAGGTTGGTGTTGAACAATGAGAACACATGGACACAGGGAGGGGAGCATCATACACTCAGTTCTGTTTTGGGGAGACTAGGGGAGGGATGGTGGGAGGTAGGGAGTTGGGGGGGATAACATGGGGATTAATGCCAGATATAGGTGATGGAGATAGAGGCAGCAAACGACATTGCCATGTATGCACCTATGCAACAGTCTTGCATGCTCTTCACATGTACCCAAGAACCTAAAGTACAATAAAATATATATATATATATATATTTTAAAAAATGCAATCACCCTGTAATCTACTATATATGTATATATCCCTACTATATATATATATATATATATATATATATATATATATATTGAGATAGATAGATAGATAGATAGATAGATGGAATGAGGGCCTCTAGTATTAATAGTGTTTTATTTGTAAGGTGTGATCATGCGTGGGAGAAGTCAACTTTCTCCATTTTATACTTTGCCTTTAGATAATACAATACACTTATATGAGTTTATAATAAAAACATAAAGACATTTAATTCCATATAAAATTTTCTCTGGGGATGATGCATTTTTATAGTGCTTCTGAGTTGTGATTTTATAGTTAATTCTGTTTTATTTCTTAGCTGACCTAAGTAAGGATGCACCAGTAGCTGAAGGAGCATGATTGATAGGCACATCCAGGGCTTCAGTGCACACAGGTAAGAAGGATGCTACCACTGTGCTGCTGAGCGCATCCCACCTGTCATTTCAAAATCAAAGGTAGAAAAAGTGATTATCAAATGAAATCATCAATAATATTATTCATAATAATAAGAATATGTTGAAAACCAATAAATCTGGATGTTGTGATTTTTGTATGAAATAAGTTTTCTTTGTATTCATTATTTAACAGCACATACTTGCTAGCTGGTTAATATTACTTACGGAGTGACAGTCTGGAAGCATCAAGTCCCTTTTTATAAGTTCAATCATTTTTTTGAAATTGGTTAAGTCATATTTTCTTTGTAGAAGGACAAGTTTTGAGACTTCCAAAAGGGCTGATTCATTACTCACATGCTTATAAAATATATTTTATGAATACCATAAAAATTGTAATGTTATTTGCTCTACTTCTATGCAACATTTTGTAGGGATTCATCAAAATTCAGAAATATGCATGGCAATGTGTGGTGCATGAGAATACCAGCCCTCATGTGTACAGAAGCAGGAGAGAAGAAAAGGCCCAGAACCACTGCTGGTCCCACAAACAGAGGTGAGAGCTATACTTTTGGCATCACGCACAGCCTCAGTCCCCACTCCATTGCTGTGTTCTCCAGCTCCCGTCCTCCATCAGAATATAGTTGTAATGCCAGCATTGCTAGACCAAAGCTCTTACTTCCAAGGTCCTAAAATCAAACACATATGAAGTGACTACGGACATAGGGGGGTTGTACCCTTCACCCAACCTCAATTAGGAATCTGGTGATGGAGCCGGTCCGTATAGATACACTGGAAAACACTCCATGACTGTTTCCTGTTCCAATCTGATATCACTATTACTTGTCACCTATCTGAATATCTGCAGTGACGGCAATGACTCTTCTGATTGAAAATCACCACAAATTCTAAGTAATATGACTCCAGAGTTTAGGAAGGGCACAGTATCATTTTTTAAAGTCTCTGCCTGCTAGTATTAAAATTAAGTTCATGAAATAAACTTAACGCATTAAGCACTGTGTTTTCTCACAGCTGTATCACTTCTCAGCTAGAATTCCATTCCCTCTGAAAATGTCACGGGCAATTGTTTTGCTACCAACATAATCTATTTTCCATCTCCTCCAGCTGCTTATGGCTCTTGAGAGAGAATTGCACGGGAGAAGATATTTGTGGGTTTTATTTCCATGTTTGTTATTTTTAAAAAATGAGGCCATTTCAAGTGGTAATGATGGAGGGTGGTCTGTTTGTTTGTTGCAGGTTTACTTATTTATTGGTTGCTACTTTATTATTTCTCTTAGCTCCCCTTCGACACACAAAGTTTGTGTGTATTGGAGTCGGCACTCTGAGTCTGTGCCCACTCTGGGGGGTGCCAGGACCCCAATCAGCAGTACTCTGAGCACAATGCAAATGAGCGTCCTTCAGAGTTAGGATTCGATCTACACCAGAACCATTCTAGATTCCATTTCTCTCTTCCTCAGTCTTCTCTCCCTTGCCTGTCTCCACTCTTCGATGGCAGTCTCTAACTGCTTTCAAGTATTTTGGTCATTGACATAGGCTGGGAGAGAGCAGGTGGCTCCTGAAAGTCATTGTAGCATACACATAGTTGAGGGGCCACCATGCCCTGTGTCATAGCCCTTGCCTCTGCACTGGATCCACCCGTAGGGTTGTATGCACCCCAACCAGCTTAACCACACACATCCCCAGGTGGTCTTTGTTGGCAAAATATCCAGGGATGGATAGATAAAAATCCCAATTCTGAACTTCTTTCACATTTCCTTATCTCTAAAATACATTAGGCTCTCCCAGGACTGAAATCTAAAATCAGCATCCTCAACCCACAGAGGTGTTCGTAACAGGGCCCAAAACACACACCACTCCTTCTACCCCAGGCTACATCCAGCTTTGTGCTGGCAGTATAGACTCGTATCAGCCCAGGGTTGCCATAAGTGATCCTAGAATACCCAGAACCAGCCCAGAGTATGGGAGTGTGGGTAAGGATATCGGTTGTCACTGTGCACTTCCCCTCTCGTATCTGGGGCTCTGGTAATACAGAACAGCCTGTTCCCTTACACTTAGAGGATAGGAGAAAACACAACCTTTACGTACCTCCCACCTGAGCTGTCCACCTGGCTCATTCTGATCCTGACCAGTGTAGACAGCTTAGCAACAGCCCCTTGGTCTTTCCATCCCAAGGGCACAGGGAAGGGGCTGTTACATGGTTTTAAAAACGTGTGGCCACTGCATTTCTCAGTTATCAGTTTCTCCAGCTGGGAAGTAAAACAGGGAAATTAGAATAAATGGTCTTTAACATCATTCCAGCACCAACCTTATAGACAATACCTGGCTGGTGACGGTGGATGTGATGCAGATCCATTTCTGGGAACCTCCTGGGCATTGTGCAAACTAATCAAACCAGCTCTTTGCGTCTTGAATCCCAGCTCTCCGTTACAACATGGTAACAAGTGAACAATCTCTATTATTAGAATTTTTTTTTTTTGCTACGTATCTCTAATGCTAAGCTAACAGATGTTCATACTTTCCGACTTGAAGCATTGCAAAATCTTGATATTGTCAGAGGGAAAAATACATTTGGTTTCGTTTTTGACAAACTTGAACATAGTGTTTGGAAAATCGGTTCTATCATTTCCCTCCTTATCTTATCAGAACATTATATTCTAACCATTCTGGAAAACAGTTTACCACAAATAAGTTAACCTGTACCTCTGTCAGTGATACAAAGAGAACATCCTGGCAATCCAGACTTACATTTTTAAGGCAACATTTTGTTAATGTTAATTATCTTAGCAAATGTCAAGAATTATCAAACATTCATTAGAAACTTATGTTGATCCTTTTCTAGAAACTGGTAAGTCTTGGTAAGTTTAATAATCTTTACATCGGAAATACTGAAATATGACCTGTCTTTTCCAAATGTGAACAAAGTACAAAAAAAAAAAAGGAGGAAACTGCCTGAGGTGATAGTGGGTCTGAAGGCTCAGGTCAGAGGGGGCAGTAATAAGAAAATTGTAGAAAGGCTTTCATGTTCCCCCATATGTGTGCATTGATGGAAGGCTGAGACGTGCAGCCCCCATGTTGACAGCCTCGTGGCTGACTGACCAGCTCCACAGTTTTATCAAGCTGATCTGGCTTTAGTTTAAGCATGATTCCAGATGGGTCAGGCTTCTGCACTCCTGTATCAGTCAGTCATTGGCTACAGCACTCTACCTGACTGAGAGGGTGGGTCTAACCTCCCAATGTCTTTGAACAGGAGGCTCCTGTTAATAGAGGGGAAATCTCCAAAAAGCTACAGCTGTGTGCTTCCAGTAGCCAACATTCACAGCAGCTGTGGATTGGAGGAACCTGCCCAGCGAAGGTGATGTGGGCAGGGCACCAACAGCATCTACTCCACAGCTGTAGCCTAAGACAATCTCTGGTGCTAGGGGAAGACAGAGGCAGTCATCCCCAAAGCCAAACCACACATTATACTCAGGACAATGGGGGACCCTGAATATTTCCCAATTTGAAATTTTCAGAGGGGATTTTTTTAGGTCTAGACAAGGAAAGTAACAATAAATTGACACCCTCCAAAACTGCCAAATTCCTCCATTGGTTTACTGATTCAGAAAATATGTATTGAATGCCTCATATTTGCTAGGCTAGATTCTGGAGCGACATGGATAAAGAAGCAATGTGCCTTAGTGATGAGGACAGGCATTTGGACAGATGATGATAGTTGAGCTAAGGGTAGAGACGTGGGAACACCTACAAAGAATTGTTGCCTTATTTTGAGTTACTCTGTCCCAAGTGCTAGAGATGTATACATACACACTATCCCGTTTAATTGCCCAATGCCCCTTTCAGATAAGCTATGTTAACCTCTAAAGCATATGCGACAACTGAGGTAACAAGTCCACACATCTGCTCTGACATATTAAGCTGTGAGGGCTGAGAGAAGAAATAGGAAAGGAACCTCCTAATTATTTAACCTATAAACCCCAAATTTGGGCATTTAATTGGGAAGAGAAAATGGAATGGTTTCTGGGATTGATTGAATACTGAAAACATCATGTTTATCTGCATTCTAAGCAATTGGCATGTTTTATGAGCAATCTGATGAACTGTTACACTAGGTCTTGAAAAAGAAGAATAAGGTCATGTGCCAATCTGGTATGTCTTATCTACTGAAGCAAGGTAAAACTCTTCTGTACATTTTTTTCTAAAATAAGGGATATATATTATCACTGTGGCTATCAAAGTGTCTGTGAGTGCAGAATTGTTCATTATTTATACAGCAACATAAATGCATGCAGCAATTTACTATACATAGCACCTGCTGAACAAACAACTCCCTGACTCTCTGCCCCAAAGAGCTGAGAAGAGTATGACATAGAACAGTACAATGAAGAAAAAACGTAATCAAGACAAAGGGAAGGCAGTTTGTGGTCTTTATGGCCAGAAACTTTCCTACAACAGATATCATTTTGTGTTTGAAGTATTCAATGATGAGAATCTATACATTGTATTTGTGAAATATGGTTTCACCTAATCAGATCCATCATTTTTATGTGCTTCAGGAAACCAATGAAACTATGGCTTGAAATCATCTCTTTGGAAATCAAAGTTGAAAAAACATCAGTGGTTTAGGAGAGAGTTGAAGAGTGGATAGCAAAGACAAAATGGGATGTACGAATTAAGAGAGAACTGATCATGATTTAGGAAGAAGTTGCCTGAAAGGTTATCAGAGTGCTGTTTGTCTTATAGAAGTGTGTTTTTGAGTTGGGCAATGTGTCAACGTAAAGCTGGCATCCAAAGTCAATAAAGGTATACAGAGAAAGGACCGTATGCAAATAATTTACTTCTATCTCTGGCCACAGATTTAATCTCCCTGATATACACAAGTCACAAATGTGGCTTGTGACTTATGAGAGGAAATGGATAAAAGTGTGGTTTGAAGGACAGAAGTCATCACTATTTTGGAAAAGTTATACAGATTAGCTTTTATGATGATGGTGATGATGAATCAGATTAGCTAGTGTTGGTGAGTTGTTTTAAACCAACCCCTCCTAGGTTATAGATATTCTTTAAAATGGTATGAATGCATCATCAAAATACTCATTGGCCAAGTACTAGAGTAGGTGACCACATAACTTATTTTCTAAGCCAAGACACTTTTGATGGTAAATGAAGGCACTATTAATAATCACCCCACCACAATATGAGTAAACCATGATGATTTTAGGTAAACCTGGACATGCAGTTACCCTAAATATGTGTAAGCTGTGTACCAAGTGAGGAAATTGGCCAGGCTACCAAGAAAAAATCTATGAAGCATGAATCCTCTTTATCCATCTCCAGCCTTCAAAAAGTCAGTTACCCTCCAGGAAGGAGGATAAATACAAAACTGCCCTCCACAGAGCCTACTGGACAGCAGCCAGAATTAGATTGCAGACAAGATTGAAGAGTGAGTTTGTTCTTATCACCTACCACATTTCTTAACCAGTTGAACTGACTTCAAAGAAGCTTTGAAGAAAAAAATGAGGAGTCTTTAAGATGCATGTGAAAACTACAACATAAAGGGCATGTGTAGCAATATTTCTGGTTTATTGTTTAGGAAAATACGACCTAGTGAATGTGAGTCAGCACTTAGCCACCCAGCAACTCTCTTCACTCTACAGAAGATGACAATGGACTTATTAAAATGCAGACCAGGGGCTGGACATGGTGGCTCACTCCTATAATCCCAGCACTTTGGGAGGCCAAGACGGGTGGATCACAAGGTCAGGAGTTCGAGACCAGCCTGGCCAGCATGGTGAAACCTTGTCTCTACTAAAAAATACAAAAAATTAGCCCAGCATGGTGCCATGCACCTGTAGTCCCAGCTTCTCGGGAGGCTGAGGCAAGAGAATTGCTTGAACCCAGCAGGTGGATGTTGCAGTGAGCCGAGATCATGCCACTATACTCCAGCCTGGGTGACAGAGCAAGACTCCATCTCAAAAAAAAAATGTAGACCAGGTATTCTCAGCCTTGACACTATTGACATTTTGGGCTAAATAGTTCTTTATCGTTGGCGGGGGGGGGATTGTCCTGTGCATTGTAGGATGCTTACCAGGTCATTGGCTTCTACCCACTGCATGCCAGTAGCACCCTCCCCCCAGTTTTGACAACCAAAAATGTTTCCAGACTTTCCAAGTATTCTCTGCGGGGCAAAATTATCCTTAGTTGAGAACCACTGATACAGACCGTGATCCTTTTTTGCCATTCCAACCACTACCAACTTAGTCCAGCCTCTGAAGGTCTACAAGTCCCTTGCCTCTTTCAGTTCAGAGGGATCTCAGAGGAAATAAATCTTCTCTTCCACATGTTTATTAAAGGATGTGTAACATCCCTGGCAGGCAATCACCTAGATTCTGCTTGGCTCTTCCAACATCAGGGAGTTCACTTCCTCAGGAGATAAGCTATCCCATAGTCAGACATTTTCAACATGAGATAGTTCGTTAATGCCGAAGTGAAATCAGCTTCTCTGATTTCCCCTCTCATACTAACTTTACAAAGAAAGTGCTATAGAAGGTCTCCCCTCCCTATTTCACCACACAGCCCTTCTAATATTTGGAATCTCCTTTCTTCCAGAGAAGCTTCTCTATTATCTTCCACAATATCTCCCTTTAACAATCCTCCAGCTTTTTTTGTGCCTCAGACTTTTTCCAATAATGAAAACAATGATAGTGAAGAAGATGATGATGGTGGTTGTGGTAATGATGGTTGATGGAGGTGATGATGATGGTGATGGTGGTGGTGATGATAATGATGGTGGTGATGATAATGGTGATGGTGGTGGTAGTGATGATAATGGTGGTGGTGATGATAATGGTGGTGGTGATGATAATGGTGGTGGTGGTGATGATAATGGTGGTGGTG